GTTTGCTTGTATGTTCCTATTGTTGTTTAGGACTGCAATTGATCAGTCTCTTGTTGGCATTTATGCATCCTATGCGGACTGCTAGCCACTATCCATCTTTGCTCATAAAGCTTGTAACTTAAGGCAATATCGAGGCAATCCGCAAAGGATACACATATGTCATTGTGGGACTGATCAACTGCAGTCCTAACAAATACACACTGCCGATGAGTCAAATACCAGAAAAATACGACTGTACAGTGATTTTTGATTTTCGAAAGTTTCCGTACTAAAGTCGGTATCTAATGTAAGCTATAAATATCAACAACCTATACAATCCTCATGCGCTCACCAGTGACCAGTTTAGAGAAATGATTCATGGAGTTCTAGTGTGATGGTGTAACCAGTTAAGTTCGAACATATCGAGTGTGAATTAGTTATCTACCAATGACATTGCGAGGTGCTTACGCAAAATCATGAATTAATTGGAATTAAATATATGAAGCATTGAATTCCGACTCAATGGTGTAAGGGTTGATTTCTCGTTGTGAAAGTTGAAAATTTTAGTTCCAGTGCTCGTAGTAGGATCTTAGATGCCCTCCGAGTGAGGAATGTCACACTAAAACAAAACAATTAACCAATGTTTCTTCAATTTTAATGGTTATCTAAGTAAAATCAGGTTGTGTTATAAAATTTGAGACAATTCATTGTCAATTTATACAACGTCATTTTAGAGTAGATTAGTAAAACAGAATTATTTCTTTACAAGAGAAAAACCAACTGCAATACCATATGAAGAATTCGTTTTAATTTTCAAGTGGATAGATTACAAAACTGTTTCAAAAAGTCAAAATATCGATATTGTTCAGAATAACATTGAAAAAATCACCATACATATGCCATTTTTAGTAGTACAAAAATGGATGAGATTGTATACAACTTCATTATTTGTCGTCACATGAAACAAGAGATGGATTACAAATAGCTAATTCAACAGTTTATTTTTCAATCAAGTTGTTGAACACCTTGGGAAATCTGTATGCTAGACCAATAAACTCAGCAAACCATGTGAATCACTTGATTCAAGTATCCGAGGGATAGTCAAGAACCACATTTAGATTAGAACGAGTGTTTATTATTACACAAATGCAAGGCACTTAACAAGTAGAACCAATTTTATATACAAGATAGTTTCATGTATTGAGTGTGATCGTATATGTCTATCCTCGTTTATTGATCAGTCAGGGATCATAGCTACCCAACACATGGAAATCATAATACTTTTCACTTGATATTGATTTTGCTTGTATCTTCCCATTGAGGTTTAAGACTGCAGTCGATCAGTCTGTTATTGGCATATGTGTATTTTGTGCGTATGCCTCGATATTACCTTAATTCACAAGCTTTTTGTAAGCAATGATGGCATATATGTCAATAACAGACTGATCAATTGCAGTCTGAAAACTCAATGGGAAGATACAAGCCAAACAATACCAAGTGAATTTAAATTCACCCCATTGCACAAGTAAGTAGCTACCAGGACTCAGTAGCTGAGTGGATAACGCGATAGTGTTTGAAGAGAATGGTACTGGGTTCGAGTCCCAGAATGAACATCAAATCTTAGATGCAAGTACATCCAGCTGACGAGTCGCAGATGGGACGAAACGCACGTCTTAAATTCCACTACTAGCCACTACCCATCATTGCATACATAACACTTTTGTTTCAAATACTTCTTTCTATGGACATAACAATCAATATCATATCAGTTAACAGGTTAACATATACTATGGTTATAGATCATGATTTTCTATTGATAAATATACAAAAACAATAACAAACTTATAAGTTTTATACAAAAGGAGTAAATAGTTATCATCTAATTATGCAAAAAGTATTTTTGATTCAAATGGTACACCGAAAAGTAATCAATTGGCTACTATCATTTGTCCGCATTTCTTTCTCTCTATCACACTTCTTTTTGTAATATTTGCTTTGTATGTTTGATCTATGTTAATATCTATCATTAACATTCTTCATAAGTTCTGCCAACTTTTATTTAATTATAATAACAGTTGTATTGATCATTTATTTTTATTAAATTTTCATTTTTAATTTGCACTACATATAATTTCAACATTATTCAATGGAAACAACTGACCCTCAATTAATTTAGTTATCCAAGGAACTGTAGTTTCAAATACCATTTTCAACTAATAAATAACACCGTTATTATGGTTACTTTCTGGAGTTGTTATGTTCTTTTAACTGGACAGTTATTAATAGATAATGATAGTGGAACAAGTTAGTTTAGCACTTGTGAAATATGCCCCCGAAATTCCCTTATACGGCCGAAAGTGAGGAGAGTCAGCCCTCCCTCTAGGAATTCTCTCACATGGTCACATACATACAAGCACTATCAGAGAAGTCCTACTCACTGTCTTCTCGCACCAGGGGTGTTGTTTACGAAATTGAGAGGACTAAAAGCGAATACCCGTCGCTTTAATATGGTTGGTGAATATGGAGGATCCACTTAGGAGGGTTGGAGAACCCTGATTCTAAACGTCGTCTCCGGGATCCTGATGAATCAAATGGCGTGTGAACCAATTGTCGGTCATCGGCTAGTATGGGACTGCATCTCCTAACGTTGCTGCAATGCCTTGTGGATCAGACATTTAGGTCAAAGGCTCCGGGTGTGGCTCCCTAATAAAACCACCTGCTTCGGTCTGGTCACGTGGGCGGTATCACAGCCCACACACAAGTGAAGTGAATTGTGTGACGCATATGTATTCGATGCTCTTTTGTACCAATATTCATATATTCAAATAAATAAATAAAAATTGTGAAATAAACATCTCACTTCTAATATGGAGTAGGTGTTGTTAGTGATAATCAACACATGTTTCTTGTTCTTGGTCAAGTTATCATCTCATTCACCTTCGTTGTACTTTCATCTATAAAATTGAAATTGTATGAATATAATTAAGATTATTCTTAGTTAATAATGAACTAAATTGTTTTATGGATGTTACACACAAAGTTACAATCTATGTATTTCTATCAATGAGTGTATATGACATGAAATGAAATAGATTAACTTCGTTCTACAATGTCAACAAAGTAAAGAAACATTAGAACAAAGTGATTGTGATTCCGAATATCTGAGTATAACGTATTCAATCGTGTTTGGTTTCCATTCAACAATGGAAAATGTTACCTATTACATTCTTAACATAACTGAAAGTCAATTAATACAGAATACGTTTTCTGGTTAGCGTTTTCTGGCGAGTTAATTTTCTACCCTCCTCCTTTATCCGGGCTTGGGACAGGCATTAGCCCCAGAGGGGCTTCAGACAGAGTTAATTAATACAGAAAAACCAGTCATAAATAGCTCAGTAGTTAAATTTCCAAATGTAGTCATTTAGTTAAGCATATTCAACGTAGAACTTGGAATATATGTGTATTGTTTCAAACTGACATTACTTATACGACGATTGAGATGCAAGAAGCATTAGATAACTGTTTCGTCCTAGTGTGGTATTCCTCAACAGTATGCATCTAAGGTCCTCTAACGAGCACCGGGACCAAAATCTTCAGCTCTTACAATGAGCAATCAACCCTTACACCATTGAGTTGGAATTCGATGCTTCACATGTCTAATTCCAATCGATTCATGATTGGAAAAAATTGGAGTTTACTTAACAATTATTGGACGAATCCCATAAATTTTAAGGTAGAAATACAGGGTTTCTTTACAAGTCAGTATTACTTCATTCAATAATTTCTGGACATACATTTTTAATACTAAAGGAAATGTTCTAATCGATGATTTTCTTTTCGAGCACTGAAGTCAAATTCTCATCATAAAACAACTGAAAGAACTCAAGTAATTGATATTTTCGCTAGTGAAATCCCTTTTGGGTCAGTTTTCCGTCGTTACCTAATTAACGCTTCAATGAGGAACTGTTATTTTTATCTCTTATCACATGACTAACAAACCAAAGAATAAACTTCAATTTGTGAGAGAGACTTAATGATGTTATCATTATTAGTAAAGGTCTGACTAATGTTCAGCAGCGTGTCTGAGTTCTGTGCGAATTGGTCAAGTAGCACCTTTGTAACACAAGTTTTACGGAATAAATGGATTGTGGCTAATGGCAATGTTTATGGTGTGTATAATGTCCTATTTTCGACTCGCCAGTTGAATGTATATTTATACAAGTGCTAATGTACACACCTAGACCTGAACTAGGTACATTTTGCTTTAAATGCCAATCCTGTTATCCACTCAAAAATTACAAACGCTTATTACTAACTTTATATCTGTTGAACACGTTATTAGCTAGTTGGACTCAGTAGTTAAGTAGATGACGCGTTAACGTCTGAAGTGAAATGTATTATATTCCATTCCCATTGTAAAATCGGTACTAGGATGTAAAAGATACATACAACTGATGAGACTCACACTCGAACTTTATCGCACTATTCATCACAATCTATCTATTCTATAAAATTGATATCAATCAGTGAAGGTAGACAGTAAACATCATAGACCTGAGAGCAAGTTCCACCTTTTGAAAGTCTATTAAGTATGACATTTGTTTCGATATTCCAAAATGAGAACAGATTTCCATCCCATAAACATTAGTCAATACAGTAAAGAGTCAATCTGTTAGCGGGACATAGATTGGATTAAAGCATGTTCCATGCACGATTGAGTTGGTGCATGCTAATTGGTTAATTCTTATCCAATCAGTGCTAGTCGATGCTTGGAGAACACTCTAGAATCTTCCCATATAAAAACTACTTCCATCTAACCTTTTTATTCGGAATATAATCTCTTTCCCGTTCAACCGTGTTTTGATTTGGGGACGTGTCGAGTGAAATTAGTATCCAAGATTACTAAGCAATAAGAATAGCTGGGTTGTATAATAAGAGAGAATGATAACACAATCAATCAATCGATCAATCAGTCAGTTACACAAACACCAATATGATGCAATAAATCAATTACTATTCAGTTGTAAATAATAAACTTTTTTTTAAAAAAAATTCTTCTCATAATACAAACTATTGCTCTGTTGTTACACAACAACAACAACACCATCATCATCATCATCATTGTGATCATCAAAATAAATAGTCTATTCACATATTATAATGATAATTGATCACCGCAAGATTATTAAGATAATAAATAATACACAATATTTGTATACAAAGAATACAAAATGAAGTGTGTAAAATGTAATACAATGAATGACAAAGTACAATTTATATTATCAAAGAAATCAATACACATCAACAACAAAAAGAAGAAAGAAAAGGAACAACAACAACAAAAAAGAAAAGAACAATTAAAGATAAATTTTAAAAAAAAGAAGTCAAAATGATTATCAAATATAAAGTAAATAGAATTATCAAATATAATAATATTATATTATTACATAATAATGATTAAATGAATAGAATTATGAATGGGATAAACAATCATTGATGATTATGTCCACACACACAAAAAAAAAGGTTAAATACTCCATATACATTTGAGTTGTAAAATATTCAATTACTGTAAATAAATAATGATAGAATCATTATAATCTTTTATTAAATCATATAATATTTCAAATAAGCTAACTAATCCTAGTTCATTATAAATCTGTGGTAATCTCTATCTATACACACACACACACACACTCATGAAGAACAAACAGAGGGTAAGTTAACACTACAAAACAATCTGTTCATTCTGGGTAATTGAAATGTTAATATAAATGGAAAAGAATACAAACATTAATAATATGCATACATATGTGTAATAGTAATGTTATTATTATTATTATTACTATTATTAGAAAAATAATGTGTAAATTCAGCAGAATATATAATGTTTAACAAACATTCAATACAAAACCAACTTACATAATGAATCAATTCAAAAAAGAAAAAAATGATAACGTTTAAACAACGAAAGAAAGAAGGAAAAAAGAAGAAGAACAAGAAGAAGAAGGATGGGGAGGAGGAATAATACAAACATCATTTACAGATATCTAGAGACAATGCGGGTTAACAACCAAACACACAGAAAGAAAGAAAATAATAATACTGAATATCACTAATAATGATTGTTTGAAGAGCTGGAAGAAGAAACACTATCGGTTTCAGGAGAAAATGAAGAAGCTGTAGTGATTGGTGTTGATTTATTATCAATTCCATGGTGATGATGATCATTGATTGGAAGATTATTGTTATTATTACAACTGTTGACAGAGTAATTTACATCATTAATAATATTAGATAAAGCAGTATAATATTTTGGATAAGGCTTGAAAAGATATGAACATGGAAGTAGCCAAGAGTAAAATGGACCTACAAAAGAAAATAATAATAATAATAAAACAGTTAACAATATATATAAACAGTAGTTGTCTATTTTACATGATCATTATAGCAGCTATACAAGGAGTAAATCTATTCAACTTATTAATTGAATACAAATTCGTATAATTGATTTTGAGCTAAACTCTAATTGTGAAAATTAGTGGTATTACCTGGTTACTCAAGCTTAAGTAGGTAGAATGAGGTTTGAACCCGAGGCTAAATTTATTGAGGTTAAAACCAATTAACCGTGATAGAACAAATCAATTGCAACTATTTGATGTAATAATGTCTCTTTTATAATCCAAATGATTTATTACTGTACTCCTTTATTTACTATATAGTACACCTGTCAGAGAGATAACTAATTGGTTAAGGCTTTTGAACTGACCCAGTTATTGAAACAGAAATATGTGATATGGCGTTTGAACCTGTAGCTAAATGTCTTCAAGTCAGAAGCTTTAACTAAAAAGAGCCAGAGCTCTAGAAGATGTACTGTATGATAAGTTAAGAAGTAAAATAAGAAATAATTTGATTTTGAAAGAGACAATATGAAACCAATTGACGGTAATTAGTTTGTTCTTTCACAATTAATCGGTTTTTTCAATAAACGTAGATTTTACGTAATATAACAAAACGAAAAATGATTTAACATAGTATGTCGCTGTTTTAAATCATACAGGGAATACTGTCAAAAGCGATTTATGGAGACAAAATTTTAAATCACGCGTGAGACAATTAGCCACATATGACACTGAAAGATTGCTGTGAAATACCATACATTGATTAAAATTCGACACGTAAGCCATCAGATGTTAGTTTTGTGGTCTAAAGATTAGGCGCTCCTCACGAGACCTGTACGTTCTGGAGATAATCCCTGACCAGGTGTCGTGGATATGTGCTATTCCTGAGGAAACCCATATTAAGACGAGACAGCTGTTCAGTCAACTGATTTGTGTGTGGGCTGTGATACCGCCCACGTGACCAGACTGAAACAAGTGGTTTTCATAGGGAGCCATACCCCGAGCCTTCGACCTAAAGGTCTGATCCACAAGGCATTGCAGCAACGTTAGGAGATGCAGTCTTATAGTAGCCGGTGGCCAACACTTGGTTCATACGCCATTTGTTTCTTCAGGATACTGAAGCCGATAAGCAACATTAGTTTGGTATCAGGGTTTTCCAACTCTTCTAGGTGGAATCTCCGTGTCCACCGATCCGGTTAAAATGCCGGACATTCGGTTTTCGTCCTGTCTCAACTTCGTTAATAACACTCTCCCTACTAGAAGGTAGTGAGTAGGACTTCCCTGACAGTAGCTGTAGACGCGTGGTCATATGAGAGCACTTCGAGAGGAGGAGCTGACTATCCCCACCCCCGGCCGTACCAGGGCATTTAAGGCCCAAATATGTAATTTGTTATAACTGGACGAGCATTAGAAAACTTGGAACTATTTTTCGATTATTATTTACATTTTTATTGTACACTTAGTAGGTAACTGTATTATTGTATATCAATATTTTCCTTATAGTAAGCTTGGAGTGGACCAATTAACTGTCATTATACGTCTTTCTATATCATAGCTATCAATAATTATGTTACTGTTTGCTTCGCTCTCTACCATTTATGGAATGATTATGTTCAAATTATGGTTTCCTGTTTGATGTGCTGTGTGATCTGAAAATTCGAATATACAGGCTAATGTATGTTTGAGATGGTTTAACGTTGGGTTGAGTGACTGAAATATACATATGATAGAAACTGACTGCTGATTTTTCTTTAGACTCAAAGGAGACCGAGAAAAAGCTTGAAGATAATATAGCAGACCAATAATAGACGAGCTTAAGCTGGCTTAAGGTTAGTTGTGTTTGTGTGTCAGAACACACAATCGGTCAAGTCAAGGACGTTAGATTATACAAAGAATAGTAGACGCGGTGTGGTGTTTGCTACTGATGTCGACAGATATGAGTAGTATGTATCACCCGTCGAAAGTGGAATGCCTGACAGCAGAAGGTTGAGAAAAACAAAGAGAAGAGGACGAGAACAAAAAGTGATTGATAAAAAACAAACAAGGAATAACAAACTCCGAGACAAATGACGGATATTTTGCAAATAAAGTATTTACTGTATGGTCCCCAGATTTTACCAAGATATTTTGTAATGTTGTATCAAAATACATTTGATTGTCCCTGCTGATGTTCTCGTTCACGACAGTGAACCAGAAAAGTAATTAGAATTAAAATTCTGTTTGGTAAACTAAGCACAGGATATCGATTAACATCCACAATCGTAATCTAATTTCATTTGCGATGTTTTCTGTTTCTCAACGTTATGTGCCAGTGCTATCTTTTCAAATCAGTTTATATAAGAAATATTTTCTAATTCTCCTGAATAGTTGTGATGCCATTTTAGACAACGTTTTCTGATGACTTTTTTCTACCTATCTGAAGTTTTACATACTGATGGCAATTCCAATATGGTTGATTCGTAGACTGAATAGAAATACTTAAAAAGTAACTATTGATGGGGGGAGTGTTTTGGAAAATTACAGTACATATTGTTATAAATTTAATGTGTAACAAACAATATGGCAAAAATTGTATCTAACCAAATGAAGTAGTAACCCTGTGGTTTAAAAATTACTAATTTTTCAAGTAATATATGACAGTTTGGGCAGTCTAGTAGGTGGTACATGAACACTAGCCTTTATAATACAAGTCAAGTAAATAATAAACGTGGAATTGGTAAATGAATAACAGTAGGACAAATGATTGAATTCCCTTTGATGTCTGAATTGTATATAACAGAAAAACTGCACAGTAATATAAATATGAGAACAAAATTTTCCAAAAAGTCGGATATTTTAAATAGAATAGATAGAATGTGACTGGTAGTTTGATGCAAAACGTGCATATTTTCATATTTGGGACTCGTCAGCTGGATGTATTATACATTTCAAAGTTTACATAGTGAATATCAACAAATCTAAGACTCAGATACATCCAACTGATGATTTCCAAATAGGATGAAATACGAGTTCTGGATTTTATTGCTAATTACAGTCTATCTCTTCTAGATAAACTTGTGACAATGTGTACATCGAGATAAACTGCATGTAAAGTACATTTCAAAATATCAAGAATGAGATAATCGAAACTAGTATAAATTAAATCCACTCTTTTAAAACTTGAAATAGTTAGGTTTTGAATCAGAATAGACCTCGAAATCTCAACCCTATTTGATTGATAGTCACAAAAAAATGCTTCTCCACCTAGATACCTACTTTACTGAATGCAAATGATTGAAGAGAACAAGTTGATTGCAATAGTTTTGCAAAAACAAATTGCACTTGTTCAGTGAGTAAGATAAATGAACTTAGATATTAATTTGTGTTTTTCTAGATGAAAGACCATATTCAAAACACCATAGTATTTCTATGTAAATGATAAAACAAAAGATTTCATTCAAATGGATATGAATTGTAAGCAATAAAAAAAGTAATGATAACTGATTACTACTGACCACTTCCAAAAACCTCACGAAACAGAGTCAATTTGGATAATTTACGACGAAATCCTCCACCACCAACACCACCGTTGCCACCATCATTTAAATAAGCTTCTGTATCGGATGAATGTGGAATATTACCCGATAGCCAAGCTTCAACTGCTGTTGTATCTTCAACAATCGACTTGTACTGATTCATCAACAATATTGTAGTTCAGTAGGATTATGTAACGGAAAAAAAGAGAAAGGCATATTTAAATGTGATTGAGATTTTCTTATCATTCGACTCAATACTCAATTGATACACTTATTTGTTTATTATTTGAACACATAAATATTGGTACAAGGGGGCACCAAATACATATGCATCACACAAAACAATGACAATTAAGAGAGAGAGAAAAAGAAGCGTAAATAAAAGAACAATAACGAACAGATTAGTGTAAGGTAGCGTAATAGTAATAATAATGGGGAAAACGGAAAGGTATAACCAGAAGAATTCTTTCAGTTAAGGAGGATATAACAACTATTTATGAAGAAAGTAAAAGGTTACAGCAGGATCGCCACTGGCTTCTATTCTGAGCCATATCTGATAACGTCTCTAGCCACTGTGTAGCACCATCTCTCAGACCCCAACCAGGGAGTCGTGAAGGACCGACACAAGCCAGTCCTTTGCAGCTTTCTTTCATGCCACGACACCATGTCATATACTGACCAACTCTACGCTTTCTCCAATCAGCCCCAGAGTCGACAAATAATGCACGACGTGGAATTCTCTGGGACGACATTCGTAGAACATGTCCAAGCCACCGAAGTCGATGTTTCAAGATGGTTACACCAATTGAATTATTGGCTCTGTGCCCGAACACAAGATGCTGAAACTCGGCATGGTGTTGCCACTGGATGTCAGCAACCCTTCGGAGAAAACGACGATCGAACACAGAGAGTCGTCTAACATCCTTAACTCGGAGAGGCCAGATTTCACAAGCATAGAGCAAAACTGCTCTCACCGACGTGTTGTAGATCCGACCTTCTACGGCCAGACTGACATCACGAAGGCGCTAAAGATGGCCCAGATTGGCATAAGCCGCTCTGGCTTTCACTATACGTGAGTTCATCTCATCACTCACGCTACCACTAGCACTTATGCAGCTACGCAGATACACGAACTTCTCGACTACTTCTGTCTGCTCACCATCCAGAGTGAGGACAGGATTAGAATCCCGCCAGTCTTGTTAAAGTACTTTGCACTTCGAAGATGCAAAGCACATACCATCGGAAGTAGACTTATCCCTCGATAGTTGTTACAGGAACGACGTGAACCCTTTTTAAAGATAGGGGCAACTATCGACTCATTCCATGACATTGGTACACTCTCTAGTTCCCAATCCTTTGTAAACAACACAGTCAGTTCCTTAGTCAGAAAGTCACCACCATCTTTAAAAAGAGCCGGAGGTAAGTCATCTGAACCCGGTGATTTGTAGCGTTTCAAGAGTTGGAGTTCCTTGCGGACTTCCGCCTCATTTGGTGGATCATTCGTCACCGGCCATGGAGGGCAGGACAGTCTGACTGATGTTGCCGAGGTAGCAGGTCAGTTGAACTGTCCTACGAAAAATTCTGCTCATCGTCCAAGACGTCGATGGATGTTGGTGATTAACATCCCGTTATCCTCGCAGATTGTTTCGCTCATACCAGACTTCTTGCTGCCAGTGGCTCGGATGAGTTGGAAGAGCTTCTGGTAGTTACCAGATACAGGTGCTGCTTCCAGCTCATTAGCACGCTTCGATCACCAGCCTTCTCGGTCCTTACGCAAGCTGTGCTCAGTTTCATTACGTAACAGCCTTCGTTTGTAGTCAAACTCACGGTCACCCAGAGTAGACCGACGAGCTTTGATGAGTTGTAAGGAGCCTGAAGAAACTCAGTGCTTATAAGCGAGATGTTTCGTGAAGCCGCAAGCGGCTTTACTCGCCATTTTGATGGCATCATGAATTTGTAACTAATCCTCATCTACACTTTTCGGTGGAATGATAGTTAGCCTATAAGCTAGCTCGGTTCGATACTTAGTTGCAACAATTTGAATGGTGAACGTGGTTAATCGAAGCGTGAATAGAATTTTCAGTAAATATCGTCATTTTTATTTTATTTGTGTGTGGGCCGTGATACCGACCAGGTGACCAGACTGAAGCGGGTGGTTTTCTTAGGGGGCCACACACCGAGCCTTTGACCCTAAGATCTGACCCACAAAGCAGTGGAACATCGTGAGGAGATGCAGTCCCATGGTAGCCGGTGACCAACAATTGGTTCATACGCCATTTGTTCCCGCAGGATACTGGGGCCCATGTGCACAATTGGTTTGGAATCTGGTTAAAGCGCCGGACATTCACTTTTCGTTCTCTTATTTTCGTAAACAACACCCCCGCCACGAGAAGGCAGTGAGTAGGACTTCCCTGGCAGAGGCTGTATACGCGTGGCCGTATGAGAGTATTTGGAGAGGGAGGGCGGACCCACCCCACTCTCGGCCATACTAGGGCATTCGGGGCTCGACTCAATACTCAATTGATACACTATACAGAAACTTAGTTCATATTATACCAGGTACATGATTCATGATCAAATATAGAGAACCAGAGTATAAACTTCATAATACATTATTCCAAGCAGCCAATATACATAGTGCAAATCGATAATAGAACGGAAAATCACATATTTACTATGTCAGTAAGGTCAATATCTTTCAATTAACACACCGTGTACAATCATATCTTACTTTTACTAGCCATATATTAATAAGTGGTTAGAAATATGAACAGTAAAAATAAAGAAGATATAATCCCCAACGTGGCGGTGTTGTTCAGGAAATTCAGAGGACGAAAAGCGAATGTCTGGAGCCTTAACCGGGTTGGTGGATAAGGAGGATCTTCCTAGGGGAGTTTAAAAACTCTGATTCCAAACCAATGGTATGCATGGGCTCCAGTATCTTGAAGGAACAAATGATGTATGAATTAATCGTTGGTCACCGACTACCATGGAACTGCATCTCCCAAAGTTGCTTCACTGCCTTGAGAATCAGACATTTCGGTTAAAGGTTTGGGATGTGATTCTCTAAGAAAACCACCTGTTTCGGTTCGGGCATCCAGGCAGTATCCCAACCCTCACAAAAATCGAATGATTTATGTGGTGCATATCTGTTTGATGCCTCCTTGTACCAATGTTTATGCTTTCGAATAACCAGGTAAAATACATATACATGAGATTTTTCCGAAATCATATGTCAAAATACATTTTATTGTACACAAGGTAAACTTTAAAATAAAAGTTTTGATATTTTTTTTCTAACAATCAAGTATTTCAACTGAAAGGATCGATTTATGTTGAAATGGAATGTTATAATATTCAGATCAGAAATCCTTTCTAGAAAGAAAGTTATATTGTTTATATTGTCAAAAATAGAGTTAGAAAATTCAATGATTATTTTTGTTTAAAATAGTTTTGTCAATTTAAATTTACTGTTACTTTGCTTTGTAGTACTCACCCACCCCTACGACAATAAAGGAGACATATTTCACATTTATACCGCGTTTGGAGACGACGTCTTTCTTTTGGTAGACAATTGTTTTAAGTAAATTAATAAGTAGACGTTGTTTGCAAAGATCAATATTTATAAGTCTTTACCATTAAATGATCATGGGAGGATTGTAATTCTGATTAGTCGGGGTTAAGACTGTGGGAATAATGGCAACCAAATAGAGAGAATTGAAACTAGATCTTATTTTAGTTCAATATATAGTGAATGTATATTAAGGACAGTATTTATGGCCACTGAATTTATAAACTAGCCTAATGATATGGATTGAAATGTTGAGACAGAAAGCAATAAAACTTCGTGCAGACACAGGTCGATGACCAGATTGACATATTAAATAAGCAGTTTCAAGTATGTGCCTCATCGACTAAGCAAACTAGCTACCTAGATAAACAGCAATCGATTCAAAACATTATACTGTTATCGTCGTCTGATAAATCAGTCTATCATACAAATCAAACAGCGGAAACATTGTATAAACTTAAAGACCTGAATGTTGTGTCGAAGACTCAAACTGCTGAACCGTACACACAGACTAATGATAATTCAATACCTAGATTGGTTATAAGGATTTAAGTAGCTACATTTGTTGAGTAACTCACTTATTCTGGAAGACTCATCAGTCCTAGTTCCGTGATGCCTCACAAGATGTCCGCATAGGCTCAGGTGTTCTAGTGGCTTTCATCAACTTACGTCATTTGTGACCTAGGTGAAATATCAATCACTCCCAATCAAATAACAAATATGCTACTTAACAGTCTACCTGCATTAACATTACTTTATGATTGTAAATCATGCTTTGTAGAAGTAGTAGACAAGTGTAAACTGCACTTTTTCAATCATCAGTCAGTCAGCTACAACGTAGGACCAGGCATATATGTGCATCGGTCCAGGTTGCCATACCGCATCAACACAACAAGATGAACACCGGATTCATAACAGTGGTTAGGTAAAAGGTGGTAATATATAAGAGAAAGATTGCATATAGAGATATAGTACAAGAAGAAAGAATTGGTTCGTATAAAGAAAGATATGAAGTGACTTTAATCTCATAGTTTAAGGGAAGACAGGGAGTGTATACACCGACGCCATTGTGATCGATTCTGAGCCATGTCACCAAGAGTCTCCAACCATCGGTTACGAAAGTCACGCGGACCCCAACCAAGTAGTCTGCATCTACCAACATGGCTCAGACTAGAAGTTAGTGACTTCAAACACTGATACCACGTTTTAGTTTGGCCACCCCTAACTTTCTTCCAACCATCTCCAACACCGGTTGGCATTGCACTTCGTGATAATCGGTGTTCAGGCATACGTTACACGTGGCCCAACCATCTCAGTCGATGAAGATTCACAACCTTATCAACTGACTTACCATTATTCCTTAATACCCTGCGTCGAACCTCACTATTACTTACCCGGTGATTCCAGTAGATGCGAGCAATATTTCTGAAACATCTGTGGTCAAATACTAGTAGCTTACGAGTGTCTTCTACTCTTAAAGGCCATGTTTCGCTGCCGTAAATTAAAACAGAACGGACTGCCGCGCAGTACACTCGTCCTTTTATTGATAGACGGATATCTCGCCTTCGCCACAGGTGACGTAAGTTGGCAAAAGCCAAACGAGCTTTTCGAATCCGTACTGAGATTTCGTCCGATACCAACCCATTAGGGCTGATCAGACTTCCAAGATAAGTGAAGTTGTCAACGCGTTCGACTACTTCACTCCCTATCCTTAGTTCAGGTGTTAACGCAGACCAGTCCTGAAGCAACAACTTGCATTTAGAGGGAGAGAAGCGCAATCATAGGTATTTTGGAAGTATTTTTCGTGCCTCGTGCAACGATCGAGTGATGATCAGTGTTGAGAATAGAGGACAGATAGGTATCTAATGAAGAAGGGAAGTCGATTGATGAGATAGTGAATCTTCATAGACTGATATTGTTGAGATAAGTGTTATATACACCAAACCATTCAGTCAGTCAGTCAGTCAGCTACAACGTAGGACCAGGCATATATGTGCATCGGTCCAGGTTGCCATACCGCATCAACACAACAAGATGAACACCAGATTCATAACAGTGGTTAGGTAAAAGGCGGTAATATATAAGAGAAAGATTGCATATAGAGATATAGTACAAGCAGAAAGAATTGGTTCGTAGAAAGAAGGATATGAAGCGATTTTAATCTCATAGTTTAAGGGAAGACAGGGAGTGTATACACCGACGCCATTGTGATCGATTCTGAGCCATGTCACCAAGAGTCTCCAACCATTGGTTACGATAGTCACGCGGACCCCAACCAAGTAGTCTGCATCTACCAACATGGCTCAGACTAGAAGTTAGTGACTTCAAGCACTGATGCCACGTTTTGGTTTGGCCGCCCCTAACTTTCTTCCAACCATTTCCAATTCCGGATAGCATTGCACGTCGTGGTAATCGGTGTTCAGGCATACGTAACACGTGGCCCAACCATCTCAGTCGATGAAGATTCATAACCTCATCAACTGATTTACCATCCTTTCCTAATACCCTGCGTCTAACCTCACTATTACTTACCCGGTTATCCCAGCAGACGCCAGCAATATTTCTAAGACATCTGTGGTCAAATACTAATAGCTTACGAGTGTCTTCTACTCTTAATGGCCATGTTTCGCTGCCGTAAATTAAAACAGAACGAACTGCCGCGCAGTACACTCGTCCTTTTATTGATAGACGGATATCTCGCCTTCGCCACAGGTGACGCAAGTTGGCAAAAGCCAAACGAGCTTTTCGAATCCGTGCTGAGATTTCGTCCGATACCAACCCATTGGGGCTGATCAGACATCCAAGATAAGTGAAGTTGTCAACGCGTTCGACTACTTCACTCCCTATCCTTAGTTCAGGTGTTAACGCAGACCAGTCCTGAAGCAACAATTTGCATTTAGAGGGAGAGAAGCGCATTCCAAACATCCTGGCATTGTTGCTCAGTGCTACCAGAAGACTCTGCATTTTGTCAGCTCGATGTGTAATGAATGGCTAATATAGGAATAGTTTGTAAAATGACTAAGAATGCACAAACCAAAACGTTGCACCAGTCAGTTCATGAAATCATACACCACTGAACTGAATCACATTGGTAGATGGAGAGTATTTGGTTGGGATTTACCTTGTAACTTCGACCAATAGTTAGGGAAGGTGAGTTACATCGATTAGAATTGATCATATTGGCACAGATCCATTCACTCTTTATCTCTCCATATATATATATATATATATATATATATATATATATATATATATATATATATATATATATATATATATATAATTTGTGGAAATGAGTATTGAAGCAAGGATAACTTCTCAAGTTGTAGTTATTATCCGATTTGTGTGGGCTGGGGTATTGTATGAAAGCCCAAACCGAAGCAGGTAGTTTTCTTATAAGGCCTCACATCCCAAACCTTTGACCTAAAGGTCTAATTTATAAGACAGTGCAACAACGTACGGAGATGCAGTCCCATAGTTGTCGGTGACCAACAATAAGTTCGTACGCCATTTGTTTCCTTAAAATCCTGAAGCACATGTGCACCATTGGTTTGGAATCAGGGTTTTCCAACTCCTCTAAGTGAATTTTTCATATCCAACAACCCTGTTAAAGCCTGTGTCGGACATTCGCTTTTCGTCCTCTCAATTTCTTAAACAATATCCTTCCCACGAGAACGCAGTGAGTTGTATGCGCGCGGCCATGTAAGAGCATTTCGAGAGAGAGAGAGAGAGAGAGAGAGGGAGAACCTTTCCAACCCAATCTCGGCTATATCAGGAAATTTAGGAGCAGATCTTCAGTTCCAGTACTTTTTCATACATAACTTCTTCTTGAACTGAATCCCCAATATTTAACCTTTCTTACTATCATTTGTGCTGCAGTTATCTCGATTAGTTTGATATTTACCTTGTTGTGTTATCGTTGCTTCTGTATACCAACGTGGGTTAGCATATATTTATGCAAGGCTCTAATGATGTCTCCGACAGAATGTTCATTAAGTTTTCTATTATTTTTTCTTTTTACAAAAAAATAGGTAAATACTAGTAACATTAACATATTCTCATATTATACAATTCATTATTTCAATTACCTGGTCAGATAGAATAGCTAGAATAAATAATCCAAATAGACAAGAGATTGCTACAAGTACAATTGTATGAGCACTGAATTCAAAGAACAAACAAACAAAATAGTAAATAAAATAAAATATACCATAAATCTTCAAACTGAGTAAGTTATATAGATATCGCAATAATACTACTAATAATATCAAGTGTTCCATTGATAATCTGTACTAAGCATACCCTTCGTAGATAACAAAAATGATGTCCTGATTGTCCAAATGTGTGCGTATGTGTGTGCGCTATCTGCAACTGGCGAATTGATTAAAGGTAGAATTACAAACGATTGAATGCTGACTCAATAGTTTAAAGGTTAAGCGTTCACTATAAGACCTGAATGGTTTTAGGTTTAATCAATAATCAATGCTGAGGTCGTGAGTAGGCACTGTTGAAGAATACCAATAATAGGACGAAAAAAACTGTCTAATGTTTCCTGACGCCCAATGGTTGATCTAACTAAGGTAAATCCAACTGTAAAACTCAACACTCTCCATTACCCATGCTAATATAATACTTTTAATCAGATAACTGTTGTCATGCATAAATGCGGAGAATCAATAAGCTAGAAAGATGTGATTCAAAACTTAGATTATAACTGTAAGTAATTTACACGATATGTATCTTTCATATTAATTTCCGAAACTATCCCAACTAATTACCAGGTAAATTTTTTTAAAACTCGATAGCAGAAATGGACAAACTATGTTTTCCATTAAACCTCCTACCTTCGAGATCATCTATAAATATGCGTAAAACAAGGGCTAGAAATGAAATAATTTTAAAATATTTTAGGAAAACAGTACTTAAAATTAAAGTCTTAAGAAACAATTAATTAAATAAGTTGTTTAGTGGTTTAAGTTGATTCAAATTGACTGTTTAATAAGTGCAAAAAATAGCATTTTCATTCCATTCTATCGAAACAAACCAAGACGTGGCACCAGTCTATAAAGTCATTGATAATTGGATTAAACCACGTAGGGTTCGTAGGATTATCGTAATCAATGGTTAGAGAACTTGGGTGACATGATTCAGAATCATCCATAATGAAGTAGACATATTCATTGATCGTCTTCCTCTAGAATCTTACTCTCGAAATCTCCTTATACCTTCTTTTTTCTTTCTTTTTTTTATGCCCAATCTTTTCCGTTACTACTTCTACTACCGTGGAATTTAACTTGATAACATAATTTCGCTGTGCTTAAGTGATATAATAACTTGAACTGATGCATATGTGTCAAGTTGTGCATGATTGAATGATTTCTGAACTGACATAAACGTATAAGAAGGATATAAAAAGACTGACATTGTAGAGTGAACCTTACCTTACACATATAACATTAAAATTATTGTATTCTAATACTAATTAAGTTAGTTAATCCGTAAACAATTCAAAATAACTTTGGGCTACACATAAGTATATAGTCAGTCAAGAAGTATTAATCACAACCATGTAATAAACTTAATCACATCAAAATATCATTATTCCCACAGATTAAAGTAAAAAGAGGCTAATCCAACGTCGGTAATGTAAATTACCACAGACAAAGTTAATTTATAGTTACACAAAGGAAAAAAAATGTGTACAAAAGTTGAACTCATTTCCTTGATCATATTACACTTTTAACAATGGTGAAAACACTAAGTACTTGGGAATTCTATTAGTAAATGATGCATATCAACAAATTAGTTAGGGAAACATTTTAGCGTTTTGTGAAGTCCGTCTAACATTATCCATATTCATTTAGCTTGTTAATAAAAATTTGCCCACTTCAGTGATCTACAGTTTATAAATTCAATAACAGTGGAAATGAAAAAGAAACACATTAAAAGATAGTATCTAATAAGAAAGTTTAGTATTTATTGCTTACACAACTACAACATCGGCATTAGATGCGTCTTCTTTCAAACCGGCCGAGATCATAGCACGACATATAAGTACCAGTATCAGTGCATATACACAAAGAATGCCTGAAATCAGAATACACAAAAAATATAACATATTCTTTCTTAATAAAAAAGTAGTTGATTAATCAGTCAAGCATGTACAAAATAAAGTAGTCGGTTGTGAGCCATTTCGTTACTATGGTGTTAGAGATAAAAATTCGGTTGACCGGGTAGGTGTGATGTGACTTGAACATACAGCCTAATTGATTGATTTAATCACAAAACTATCGTTCCCTAGTAATTCCTTAATAAAATTATACACAAAACATTCCTTTCTTCAAAACTGGAGATACACAATCGTTGTAAAGAAATAGGAGGGGGGACGGGATGCATTCTTATATATATATATATATATATATATATATATATATATATATATATATATATATATATATATATATATATCAATAGAAGAATTAGACGACAGCACAACACAATATATCTCTCCTGTGTATAAATGTTTATGGACATTCGGTCATCTAATACTTACAAGTGATATTTCACGTAACTAATCATAGTCTTTAATAAAAATGCAGGCCTATCACAATTAAATTCGTTACGTTACACAAACAAAATACAGATAGTAATCAGTATACAATATATGTTTATCAGAATGGGTTTTGTGGAGAATTTAAGAAATTTCACAGGTTTAAATCATGAGTCAGTTGAAGCTAGACCACCATTGAAAACCTGGAAGCACTGGACGGCCGTTTCGTACTGGTATGGTTTTCAATGGTGGTCTAGCTTCAACTGACTCATGATTTAAACCTGTGAAATTTCTTAAATTTTCCACAAAACCCATTCTGATAATAATAATCAACTGCTCACTAGTGACTGACTTCAAGAAAAACTCCTGGAGTTCTAGTGAGAAGCCGTTACCAGTGGAGTTCAACAGGTCTTTTGTGAGATAACAACTCACTGAAGACAATGGTGTACGGTGGCGCAACTTCGTGGATTGGTTGAAGTTAGACATTAACACCGTTGGATGCCGGCTCAGTGGTCTAATGGTCAAGTGCTCGCGCGCGAAGCCAGTAGGTCCTGGGTTCGAGCCCCGCGTGGTGCGGGATCGTGGATGCACACTGCTGAGGAGTCCCATACCAGGACGAAACGGCCGTCCAGTGCTTCCAGGTTTTCAATGGTGGTCTAGCTTCAACTGACTCATGATTTAAACCTGTGAAATATATGTTTAGTTTACATTCGAAAATTAGTTAATACAACTTAAACAACCAGGTTAACAGTCATTGGTGAGAAATGTATTCCATGTGTGTGAGATCATGAAAAATATTAATTTTTTGCTTAAAAATTATATTATTTTATTTTATTTGAACATAAATATTGGTACAAGAGGGCAACAAATATATATGCTCCACACATTTTCATTATCATTATATTTGTGTGTGGTCTATGATACTGTCCGGGTGACCAGACCGAAGCAGGTGGTTTTCTTACGGGGTCACACACCGAGCCTTTGACCTAAAAATCTGATCCACAAGGCAGTGGAGCACATCGTGAGGAGATGCAGTCACATGGTAGCCGATGACCAACGATTGGTTCATACGCCATTTATTCCCGCAGGATACTGGAGCTCATGTGCACAATTGGTTTGGGATCCGGTTAAAGCGCCGGACATTCACTTTTCGTTCTCTCATTTTCGTAAACAACACCCCAGGTGCGAGAAGGCAGTGAGTAGAACTTCCCTGGCAGAGGCTGTATACGCGTGGTCATGTAAGAGCACTTCGAGAGGGGGGTGGGCCAACTCCACTCTCGGCCATATCAGGGCATTTGGGGGCTTAAAAATTAAGTCTAATTCATTTTTTTTCTAGACTGAGAAGAGATAAATTGATAGTACTTAATTTCTAGAATGGCGATTTGTGACAATTGTAGTCATTTTAATAGTTGAATTCATGAATCAATCTAAACAAGATTTTCAATGTACACTCTTGAAGTGTTTCATACTAGGATGTAACAGTTGTCCAATGCTTCCAGATTTTCAATGGTAATCTACCTTAGATTGAATCATGCATTCAACTATCTAATGATAAATTTTCTATATTTACATTTGAATGCATTAATAAACAGTTCATGCCAAAAACAATAACAATATTGAGATGGTGGAGAAGATTTGTAGCTCAGGTGGTTGATTTTGGTGGAGTTTTGTTCTCTGACCTAGATGGTTTGGTCATGGGGCTTTCATCGTTCTTCTGAACAACGACATCATCGTCGTTCAGAAGAACGATGAAAGCCCCATGACCAAACCATCTAGCTCAGAGAATAAAACTCCACCAACAACAACAATATACAATATGCAATTCATGTAAATACAAAATAGATCACAATTTTAAAGATTTAACATTCATATTAGAAACTTACCAACATAAATTAAAAATTGAATAAAATATTTTTGATTACATTCACCAACACAATTATTAATCCTTTAATAATGAATAAAAAGAAGAAAGTAAATAGGTTACACATAACAACAAATCAATCATCTTGATCAGTAATTTAATTTGTTAATATTTACAATACACTTGAATGTCAATCCTATAAGTCGAGTAATGAAGAAGAAAGAAAAAAAGAAAGACGATTTCATGGAACAATTTGAAAGCATCCTAATCCAATAAATTCTTGTTGACTTAGAATATGCTGATGACATAGTTTTATTTGGTGAAGAAGCTGACAAAATGCAGAGTCTTCTGACCACTATAAGCTACAATGCAAGCATGTTCGGGATGCGATTTTCTCCCTCGAAATGCAAAATGTTGCTTCAGGATTGGGTTGCATCGACACCCGAACTAGTGATAGGGAGTGAAGTAGTTGAGTGTGTCGACCGCTTCACTTATCTTGGAAGTCTCATCAGCCCTTGTGGTTTGGTATGTGACGAAATCTCAGCACGGATACAGAAGGCTCGACTAGCTTTTGCCAACTTGCGTCATTTATGGCGTAGGCGAGATATCCGTCCATCAACCAAAGGACGGGTTTACTGTGCAGCAGTACGTCCCGTCCTACTTTATGACAGTGAAACATGGCCGGTAAGAGTAGAGGATATTCGTAAGTTACTAGTATTCGATCATAGGTGTCTTCGAAACATTGCTCGTATATCATGGGACCATCGAGTAAGTAACACAGTTGTTAGGAAACGGGTACTAGGTAAGGATGGCAAATCAATTGATGAAGTAGTGAAACTTCATCAGTTGAGATGGCTGGGACACGTGTTACGTATGCCCAACGTCCGACTGCCTCGACGTGCGATGTTCAGTGGTATAGGAGTAGATTGGAAGAAAGCTAGGGGCGGCCAGACCAAAACATGGCTCAAGTCCATGAAGTCATTGACAAGTGGTCTGAGTCATGTTGATAGGTATAGACTACCTGGTTGGGGACTGCGAGATGATAGCAACCGATGGTTAGAGACCCTGAATGACATGGCTCAAAATCGTTTGCAATGGCGCAGGTGCATCCACTCTTTGTGTTCTCCCAAATTCTAATCTTCTGAATACTTCATGTCCCTTTTTTCCTCTTTCCAAATTTATTTCACTGAATTATACTCTTTAAATAACATCTCCAAACCCTAATCTTCCCGATCACTGCTTACACTCTTGCTACCTCTACCACTACGGGATTTGAATCGACAACTGCATCTCTGTGTTAAGGTGGTGTGGCAACTCGAACTGATGTACGTACGTACGAAGTTCTACGCTGTTACTGACTGACTGACTGAATCCAATAAATGATTCAATAAGTCCTAGTTAAATGGAAATTATTTGATGAATAAATGACTCAAATAACTAGTTTACAGTCTTAAATAGAACACTCAAAATAACCAAGAGATTATTCATTTAGTGAAGAATTGAATTTTAATTTATAAACAAAACCATTTAGAAATCGATCACAATCTCGGAGGTCAATCCGAACAATTAACAGAAAGTCTTCTCGTATACACCAGGAAATATCTCACATTTTGACAAAAGAAAAATGCCTTCCGCCTAACATCTCAAAAGAATATTGCTAGCTATAGAATAGATCGAATAGTGTTCCAGTTGGTTTGTCTTCTCTCACTCGCGTGCTTGTCAGCCAATCAGCGACAGAATAGTTTTCTTCTTTTACCCCACTCCGAACTCACGCATACTAGCCTCAAGGTTAAGCCAGTCAGCCTACCTCGTCAATAACTTAATCTAGATTAGACATGTTATCATCTGCACAAAGTGGGTAGACAGATCAAGGACGTAACATGAAGCATGTTTGTAGTTACTACAATGTCTGACTTCCGTGCTTCAGCTGGTATATTGTCAGGTCCTGCTGCTTTCCTGCTCTTGATTTGTCTGATGCATTCCAAGTGAGGACCACAGTCAGACAAGGCTGCTTACTCTCCCCCTTCCTCTTTCTCCTGGTGGTCAATTGGATTATGAAGACCTCAACATTAGAGAGAAAGCACGAAATACAACGGACAGCTTGCAATCAATTAGAAGATTTGGACCTCGCAGACGACCTGGTCCTTCTATCCCATACACACGAACAAATACTGGTGAACACAACTAGTGTAGCAGCAGCCTCTGAATCAGTAGGCATCAACATACACAAAAGAAAAAGCAAGATCCCCAAATACAACACAGAGAGCACCAACCCAATCACACTTGATGGAGAAGCTCTGAAAGATGTGGAATATTCCACGTACTTGGGAAGCATCATCGATAAACAAGGAGGACCTCAAGCAGACGTAAAGGTGGGGATTGGCAAAGCAAAGACCACATTCCTACAGTTGAAGAACATATATGTCAACTAACATTAAAGTCAAAATCTTCAAAACGAGCGTCAAGATAGTGCTACTGTACGGAGATGAGACGTGGAGAACTACTACAACCATCATCTAAAAGGTACAAGTATTTATAAACAGTTACTCAATATCCGTTGGCCGGATACCATCAACAACCGCCTATTGTGAGAGAGGACAAACCAGTTTCCAGCTGAAGGGGAAATTAGGAAAAGATGTTGGAAGTGGATAAGATATACATTACAGAAACTACCAAACTGCATCACAAAGTAAGCCCTAGCTTGTCATCCTGAAGGGAAACAGAAAATAGAAAGGTCAAAGAACACACTACATCAAAACTTGGAAGCAGACATGAGAAGGATGAATAGCAACTGGAAAGAATTGTCCAGGACAGGGTTGGATGGATGGTGCATGTGAGCGGCCTATGCTCCTCCACAAGGGATAATAGGCGGAAGTAAGTGAGTAGGGGCTCGAAATATATGTACGGTGGAGCCTAGTTGCTGACTTTGGGGCTTATGGGCAGGATAGAAAGAGAAGCTGGCGAATAAAGCACCAGTGCGAATTCAGCATTCAATGTTACTGGTGATGGCTGGAAGTGTAATTGGCCCAATCAGAGATATTAAGTCATAGAAATCGGGATTCTGATTGGTGGTTTTATCATGTCACCAGAAGAACGTAATATGCCGTTTTACAGACGTGTGCACTGGAATTGACTTTCTACGTCAAGCTGCACCAAGGCTTCGCCTCCCAGCTGGACGAAATATGCTCCAAAAGTTTGAAGACTGACTGTTAATTTAAAATTAAGAGAAAAATGAAAGAAACCTATAAGTTTTGATTGATGAGACACACAGCGGCGCATACTGCAGACATCCGGTTTTGTGATTCGGTTAACGTGAGTTTCGTAAAGAAAGTCTATAACAACGAAGAGTGCAACTCCAGACAACAGTAAAGGGAGAGTGCGCTTTATTTGATCTTCCGTCAAACAAACAAACCATGAGCTTCTCTCATGATCAACACATCAGAAACCATGGTTATGAACCATTGATCATCTGGTTACTGTAAACAATCCATCTACCAGACGAACATGAGCAGAGGACCAATATCCACAAACAATAGCTCTCCTAACTTATACAGGATGTTTGGAAAGACATGTATTCGTGTAGATGGAGATTCTGTCAACCGCTGCCGATTTCCTTTCATTCTGCACACATACTTAATATAAAAGTTATTCTCTTCCCGATGGGTATTTCAGTTGACAAAACAACAAAGTTTGATTCCCATAAACTGTAAATTGTTTGACGAACTCTTCTTCCGTTAAAAACATAACGCCAACGAACATCTCTCGAAACATATTCTCCACCTCGGTGCTTGATATAGACATGTAAAATGACTTTACTGCGGCAACAAGATTTGTAAAGTGACACTATTGAAGTTGAAAGTTTCTATTCATCAGAAAGTAGGATCTCTATATAACGTTTTTCATTAATCTAAGGGTAATGGAGACAATTTCACACCCAAAAAATTATTACTTCCGATCGTTCTTTTAGTGTATTAAATGTTCTTTGGCACGAGTAGTGATTTAACGAGAAAACTCTCTAATATGTGATGCATCACAGTCTGGACACGCTAGTCTATGGACACAATTATGTGCCAAAATTATAGGAATTTTAGCCTTTGTTTGAACTAAATCATTTCGAAGAGTGTTTATTGTTCGTTTATAGAATTTTTTAATTTTGTGTGATCCAATGAGTCGTTGCAAGTGTTAAGTTAAACCTTGATAATGACACCACTAATACCGTTACTAATTATATCATACTGACATTTCGCTGTGCCGATGTTATGTGATAAATCAAACCGGTGCACATGTTCCAAAATTTACGTTGTGTATGTCTGACTAACTGAACTTTGATAGGTGTTGTTGGTAATGCCATGTTTGCCGAGCTGCATGATCTGACACTACAATCTGTGTTGACACTTTTTAGAACAATAAAAGCTTTAGTATTGAACCATCCAATTCATCAAACTCCGCATAAAATAATGAAAAATATTCATGATACAACTGGGGAAAATATTTTTTTAAAAGCATGGTGTATAAAATGAACAAACGTTTGTCTAAATACATACATATATCACTAACCAGGGACAATGGTGATCCATTCGTCTTACACACCGTCGACAAATTCGGCAATGATGAGCTCTCGGTGGCCTATGTATTCCACATTTATTACAAGTAGTCCATCCATCAGGTTTCTGTATATAACGTTGAAAAAAGTGGGGATATCAATTTCAAAAACAAAGATGTAAATTATACCAGTAAACCGTAAGTCAGTCAGATGCGATGTAGAACCTGGACATGCATGTTTCACTCCAAATTGCCACACTCCATTAACATAGATGAAATTATCAGAGCATATCCTAGAGTAGCAAAAGTAATGCATTATTAGTACTAGTAATGTCCGTAACCAACCAATCAAATCGCTGCTCAAACACCCACCACGTCAACCTGGTTTGACGTGTCTGTATACTATTCCTGTTGCATGTGACCTGTCAATTGAAGGACATTGTTGTCATATCGTATTAGTGTGACTGTAATTCATATTTTTTATTCATTTCGATAAGACACGCGACACTGGTCGGCGTGTTTGTGCGTTTCACTTATTGAGTATAATTCCTTTAATTATTGTACTAATTGGATTGTTTTTACATTCAGAAATAGATCATATTTAAAGCCAAATTGTCCTTGTTCTTACTATATGTTTCACATAGACTCTGGGTCGTCAGTTTCGCGTTTACAGTTCCGGTAGAATGTTTGCAAGACAGATTAAATCCTACATTAGTGATAATAGGACAGATTAAGCATACAAGATATGAGTTATGTATGAATCAATAGCTGACTGAGTTCATCAAAATCAACTGAAAAAATAAAGCATTATCGTTCCCTGACAGTTTTATCACGTAATAGGTGTGCTGGATACAAGTAAAGTCTAAATTCTAACTTAAAGCACTGATAATGTTATAGAACTGTTGCATAAGAAACCCACTTAAATTGCTTGCGGACATCTATTTAGTTTGATCATTTCTGTTATGAACTAATAGAAGTCGTTTTTTATTTAATGACATATTGCAGCGAAAACATACCTTCGAAATATCCAAATCTCCACAAATTACATATATTAATGGTAATAGTATGACTACTATTGGTGAGTGCTTTGAGATGAATCTTCAAATTTTAATCAAAAGCTGTGACCAAAACAAGAATGGTGTGTTTATCTATCTATGCTGTTGGATCGAAATTGAGCGATATAGTAAAACGGTTAAAGCTGAAAACCGAGATCAGTGGATTTCAACCAGTTGATTGAATGGTATTGTGTGCTTTAACACCTAGAGGTTTTCGACTCAATCTTGAACGAAGTAGTGAGTGAGTAGCGCCGAGGTGTCCTAAACTAGGAAGAGCTGCACAATGATTTGTGTTTTTCAGAATTTTACCAACTGTTATCATTCTGCAAAGAAAACCATCTTTGAATAGACCTAAAGGTTCACTTTCCTCTACTAGTCAACCGATCACATTTTCTAACTACAAAGTTATTTAGATAACTTACTGAAGTATTAGTTAGGGTGTTTCTTAATTGTGGTGAAATTTACTTAAAACTGTCATTTAAATTTGGTGAATGGGTGATACTGGCCCGTTTACAATAAGTGGACAAAGCTAGATGAGTTTTTATTACATCTTGTACTCTGAAAACCATCAAGTTTGATAACCTTACACGACAAATTATTCAGAAAACTGTATGCAAAAGAGGAGATATTACCTGGACACTAGCTAACTGACTAACAGTATACCGATGCAAAGGTATAAGTCCTGGATCCGTTACGGCAGCACATATATGGGAAAATAATAGTAAAGAAGCCACTATATTAAAGCATATCGTATTCAGAATAGCCCAAAAGCTGTAAAGAAATGGCAAATGGTAGAAAAGGGGGTTGAGAAGTTGCTCTTTGAAAAATGAAAGCAATCATTACGATGAATCACATTCTGAGTAATTTACCCATACACAAATCATATCAAACAAATGATTTAACTGCGCAAAATCAGAAATTTTTCAGCTATTATATCGCAGTTGAATAAGAAAACATCTTCGGGACATACTTTAAATCAGATTGGTCAAGTCAGTGGAATAGTCTTGTAGGGAATGAGTACAGCTAATAACAGTACTAACAATTACTAAAATATACATATATGGTAGCTGGCATATTCCAAATCCAATAGCTACTTAATATAGATGTATTGAGGTTTGTTATTGAAATGTGAGGTAGAAGCGGACAAATATAGTGGACTTATATCTGAAATATTCGCAAATAGACTTTTCCATGACTATAGTTTCAAAATTTTAATAGTCAGATTATATATATAAACCAGTTGATTGTACAGTTTCCTTCTTGATACCAGGGAAAAGTAACTCTAAATCTTTGGGTGAATCTGCTGTAGCTTCTCAAGCTACCCGGCTGAAAGTTCCAGAAACAAGCCACTTAGAGTTCGATGTTTTGTCACTCGTTTTTTCAATAAATGATAGTTGCTATGACTAGTGGCTGTCACGCCACTCGGCAGTGGTTTGGTTGGTCGCACTAAACCAGGACGATAAGGTGTGAAGTACGATAGAAAACAAAATTTAAACAACCCGAAATAATAGGGAGATAAATTCAAACCATAATGAAGAGAATATGCAGGTGAGAGAATGAAAAAGTGAAAGATATTAAACTGCAACGCAGGAGGAAATTAAACCAAAGAGTAGGATTTAAAAGTGTTTAAGTGTTACTTATTTTTTAGTCAATGAAGAGCAGTTCATGAATTTTCAAGCGACCGATTGGTATTCGTCTGAAATTGTCAATTAGAGAGATCAGTTAGATCGGTAGGACGGAGTTCTACAAAGAACACATGCGTAGTGGGTAAGAGTAGCAAATCGCCTATGTTTTACCTCTGATAGGTGTTTTTGCAGAAACTTCGTGGATCACAATGTCCCTTTATTGTAATATTAGCTTACTGGAGTAGTTGGACTACATAAGATAGTGATAAAGCTACTCCTTTTCCATAGCTAAGAGAAAACCATCCTGACTCTTAGAGCCAATCCCCGTATGTCATTGGTTCAAGGCTTAGAATGTCAAGACTGTAATTTATGAACGAACCAATCGGATTTACGATAACCAGTCTTGAATTTTGGCGTGAAATCAATTCATTCATTTGACTTAATGGTTTCGACATTATAACTGATGTCAGATCGTGATGAAAACACTATATCCAATTCCTAACCCTAACTAACAACTGTAAATATTAATCCTGATTCCTCACATTGGTTTATAACCCTCATTTAACCGTAGTATGTAGGTGGATATTCTCAAGGTCTTTTTAGCGTCGCTCAAAGGTCGTCCATAAATTATAGTCTCAACCTTAGAATCTCTATCATTAAATCCCTTGGAACTTTGACAGAAAGACTCGTTTTATCGTAGGAAGTGCAACATTACTGTGGTTTTATAAGTGGGTTCGCATACATATAAATAACGTTCCATGACGAGCATAACAAGTAGTCCACGGAAGAGATAGGGAGTAGCGCAGTCTATTCCCACATCTCCCGTATAATTACGTTGGTCTAATCTTCCTGTTAACAGTATGCCGAGTCCACGTGCTGCAGTGGTATTAGGAAAGTGATCATAAAAAATATAAGTTGGCCGTTCAGTTCTGTGAAGCATTTGCGGTACCTGGGCAGGTTGAATTTTAGTTTATTCCTTCTTTTCCAATGACGAGAGGCTACGTCAGAGGTCTCGCATATTTTAAATTTAGTGAATTCTAACAGTCTGACAAATCCGGCAGACATAAAGATTGGAAAAACAAGGTACTTTCGATTGTAAGTAGAAAAAAGGAAAGAGGCAATCTAGTACGGTTATTTAAGAGACCTGGAATGTTGTAACCACAGTTCGCTTGCAATTTTGACCATGGTGTAGAACATTAGCCATACAAGTGGTTTTCAACACAAGGCATGGATAAAACAGCAAAACTTGTGTTAAACTTTTTACTGAAACTAAAGAACAGAAAGTGAGTTTAAAAGTATTTATTTACCACTTGGAAGTTGTGACAGAAGGCAATCTCGTTCCCAGACAACCAAAAAAGGGAAATAAAGGCGAATAAAGGGGGGAATAAAAGGGTAAATGCTTTGGAAGCGAAAGGTAAAATACAGGGGAAAACGCATCAGAATGTCGCCTGTCCGGGGGAAATAATGCGGTATTCCCCCTTTTTCGCCGTTTTGTCGAGAAATTACTCCCTTTTCGCCTAAATATCCGCATAATTGTCTACTTTTCGCCTAAATTTCCGTGGAATTGCCTACTTATACGCTTAACTGTCTACTTTTCGCTTAGATTCCGATGTGGATGATGATGTCTCTAATTGTGTCGAACTAATCCATGAATATCTGAATAGTAATAAAACCTACTTGGCGATTGGCGATATGAATTTGTCGAAAACTCGGAATTCGGGATATTGTACGCTTCATTACACCTTAAGGAAATGTAAGATTATTGTACAGACCTCTTGGGCTTCTTAGTGTTCTGTGGCAAAGTGTTTTCATCCGTTGAGGTGGTTTTACGTTGAGATTCCAGTATTTGTAGCGTAAAGAAGATTTTCTTTACAATTCAGTCGACATGGATGTGGCTGGGATGCAGGCTGGGAGTAGCCGCGTACAATATCCCAAATTCCAGGTTTCCGACAAATTCATATCGCCAATCGCCAAGTAGGTTTTATTACTATTCAGATATTCATGGATTAGTTCGACACAATTAGAGAGATCATCATCCACATCAGAATCTAAGCATGTTGGTGGCGCTATAGCGGACCAATAAGTAGCCTGCATCATCTAGTGACTTTTTTCAGCTGTGATAGGTTGTATACAGTGGTGCTGAACATGTTAGCTATCACTGAATTGACTAAAACAATGAACAACATATCGTCCGCCATTACTGACTTAAATATTAATGTAAACCAATTACTATTTAATTCTAATGAACGCGAAAAACCGCATCAATTCGATTGCGGACTCTCGAGTCAGCAGTTCCCTTTGTCATCTGAAGAGGAACTGCAGATGCTGGATAGTGGTTTGCAGCAGAAAGAAACCAGGGACAGATTTGTAAGTCATTAACATGAATTTAATAATTTATTACTATTACAGATGGCAATGGTTACTAGGTTATCAAGTGACGATCCAAAAACATCGATGCGGTTTGTTCTGTCGCATCTCTTGACACCTGAGGTCGCCAGTAAATTCACGTTACTTGGCACCTCTTCCAAACGAGGACTTCAGAAATGCAAGTTTTACGGCTGCATACGAAGTAACCTATATTTATTATTTAAACTTCAGGTGCCTTAACTAATCGCTTTCTGTCATCTGTCAACGAAAAAGACGTTGGTGAGCTGTACGACATTGCGACACAAGGTTACTTACATGATATCCGAGACAAGATGATAAAGCGTAATAGGAGAAAACAAGATCAGGTATGTACTTATTTTAAAGTGATAACTTCCCTACGGCTCTATAGTTACAGTCAACAATATTAACGAACATAACCGTAAGTTCAGCTTCAAGTATTTGGCTGTACCAAAGCATGTCATTGAGATATGGTTGTGACTGTTTTTCTTTTTTTTAATTCAGAGTTCACGGGACGACTACCTCAATTCTCAATAGCCGAACGAACGAGGCTTAAGGGAATAGTCCGTGCAATTGTTTTGATGTTCTACCTACAATTCAATAAACATTATTTTGTCAAACAGCTTACTTTTTTACTTACATGGGAAACTGTAGAAGTGTTGAGAATGTGTGTTTGAGTGTCAGTTAACTTTTGATTAAATGCATATTCCTTAGAAATAAAACATCACCTGTTCCTTCTTTTGCAGATAATTTCAAATAATCGATGCTTAAGCTTCTGCTCTAGTGTTGTACAATAATACGCTTTTCCTTTTAAATAAAATTTTAAATAAATGTACCGGTTTTCCACTGCATTGCAGATATATTTTGGTCTGTTGTTAAAAATAAAGGCGAACATAGGAGACCTTTGGGGTTATGTCAGTGGATGGAAAATAGGGGGGTTCTGTGTGTACTTAGGCGAAAAGTAGACAGTTAAGCGTATAAGTAGGCAATTCCACGGAAATTTAGGCGAAAAGTAGACAATTATGCGGATATTTAGGCGAAAAGTAGACAATTATGCGGATATTTAGGCGAAAAGGGAGTAATTTCTCGACAAAACGGCGAAAAAGGGGGAATACCGCATTATTTCCCCCCGGACAGGCGACATTCTGATGCGTTTTACCCTGTGTTTTACCTTTCGCCTCCGAAGCATTTACCCTTTTATTCCCCCCTTTGTTCGCCTTTATTTCCCTTTTTTGGTTGTCTGGGTCAGTACTAAGCAGATATGACAAGTTTTCTCGGCTCTCAAATCCCAGGTGCACGAGATATCATTCAAGAGCTACTGTTTACTGGTCGCTAAACATAATAAATTCAAATCCTTGGAAATATTGGGACAAGAACACTTTAGTAAAGGCTTACTAATAAAATGATTTAAAGTGAAACGAATACCATCACCTGTTTTTGAGAACCGGAAGAACTAGGTAAAATACCACGACATAATCCGAGTATAATACAAGCAAGTGAGTTATCAAAACACATGCTATACCACATGGGTCAAGCCTGAAAACCATAACCCCTCATAACTTTCGGTCCGGGCGCTTTGACAAACTTTACTCTTCGAGGTTCAATATCTCTATCTTCAGTCTTCAGTAATAAATATAGGTACAGAAGGTCTATCGACCTATATTAATCCCTGTAGTTTGTAAAACTGTGAAGGTCCAATATTGTTTTGAATATATCAACAGAAGGTGTTTACATTACATGTTCTAGAAGAGAATTCCAGTAATTCACTACTCAGTGCGAGAAAATAAACTCCAGACGTAGATGATTTGATCTCAGATTTTGGACTGTCTTCGAATGTTCACCCACATTACCAGTCCTAGACGGAAAGAAAAGATAAGACATATTATTACCTAGGTCATCGTTCAGTATACACTAAACCAATATTAGATCACACCGTAATCTGAGGTAAGATAATTGAAATAGGTTGGGACGTCGCAGACTGCTTTCATAAGATAGGCCAGAGAGTCCTTTGACTATTTTAGTCTTTTATCGTTGAACTCGTTTTAGAATACCTGACTCATACTTGAAACAAGGACTTACTGCTTAAATCCCATATTCCAAATAAGGTCGCACAAAGTGCAGGTATAATAATGTAGACAATACTCTGTCAAAATACTGAAACTATGTACGAATTTCCCATAATACCCTGTAGCATTTTACAGGAGCAACTTCACAATTACTAGTAGTTTTGAGATCACTGTTTATAATGACTCATAAATCGTTAGTTTCTTAATCTGAGTAACGCGAATCCACTATTGTGTGGTACTACGACTCGACACAGTTGTTTAATTGCATCACCACACTGTTGCTAATATTATTTTCTACTGGCCATCCGTCTATCTATGCCACTAATTAGTTGAGATCATCCTGTAATACTATTCTATCTGACATATTGTGTATAGGTCTCCAAATATTTGTATCATTGGCTATACCAATATCCAGAATCTTTCTTAATAGCTTGCGCAAACCTTTGGATTTCTCGGAGTTCATATCTCGGTTTTAAAGTACTAATCAATGCCTTCAGAAGCATTAAGCGAGGAACAGATAAACACTCAGCTACCCTACTCTTATTGGATTCTAGTCTTTTGCGTTTTGGTATGTCATGAGCACAGACGAATACATTTATTCAATAGCAGTAGAGTTTCCGAAACCAAATGTTATCACATTATCTGAAGGTTGTCTAGTTTGTGTGGGATTAGAAGTACCTCAAAATAAATAGTTTTTTAAAGGACTCGACATTATTCCCGAATGTTGATTTAATAGATGTTTAACGACTGCATTGAATATATGACAGATTGGATCACTAGGTGGATGTAGTTCTAATATACCTAAACTAGCTAAAGGATCTTAATTAAGTGACCGCATCAAACCAAGTTTCAAAGGTATCGGGACATATATTTCCTATCCTCATTCATAAACTTCTTTTCACCCTAACACTGTGTTTTCATAAAAGGTCACTATTGTATAATCAACCTGTTGTCCGTAGTGGGCAGACAGACAACCATCCTTGATCGCAAGGGGAAGATTGACATAATCAACCTTGGATTTTCAAAAGCTTTTGATAGGGCCAACCATATATGTCTATTCAATAAACTCAGTGATTAGGTATCAAATCACCTTTACTTGATTGGCTCACTTCATATCTAAAAAATCGACATTTTAAAGTTACGGTAAACTTCAATTTCTCTCAGGCTATGGAATGTTCTAGTTGAGTACCCCAAGGTTCAGTATCGGGACCTGTTCTCCTCTTGATTTGCGTAGACGATCTTCCACAGCAAGTATCGCCAGATTCATTACTTTTTTCTGATGACTTAAAACTCTGAAGATAGATACGCAACCAAGAGGATATACTGGCACTTCAGAAGGATTTGACTCGACTTCAAAGTTGGGCAGATGACAACAGACTTATATTTTAACATTTCAAGGTGCAGAGCAGCCCATCTGGGACATGCTGCAGACTATAGTTACAACTTAGGCAACTCCCCCTTAAAGGTATCCCAGAGTTGAAAAAGATTTAGGAGTATTGATATCTTATGATTCGAAGTCTAATGCTGTGACGAAGATACCTTCCGAGCAAACATTTCGCTGGCAACACTGAGGCGCGTTTTCGGACAGTTCTATGGAAGAAATTTCGACATAGTCTTCAACAGTTTTATTTGTTCACATTTAGAGTGCAGAAACATAGTATTTCCTCTCTCACTCCAAAAAGGATAAAAGCACTCTGGGGTGTATCCAACGGCAAGTCACAAAATCAGTTCGCGAATTCAACTTATGATCTTATGACTTACAGCATCCTTAACACCTCTGGGGATCCTCTTAAAAACCTACGTAAGCTTAGTCCCAACTCAAATCTAAAGAGAAACACTAAGAAACTGGAGACACAACACAGCAGAACGGACTTTAGACACAACATCTACTCTTTAAGAGTCGTCAAATGCCGGGATTCGCTGCCGGCTGAGCTATTGTAAGCGAGTTCCCAAGAGTAGTTTAACAGAAAACTTGACATGTTCTTAAGGACTAAGGACAGTATCCTATAATGGTTTGCAAAATTTGTTTTCCTATCCCTATATTATCGTTAGTACACCTAGGTTCCAGCCTGAAGGTATTGGTGATTCACTGCTACTAGATACGAAAGCCCTTCAAGAGAAAGCTTCTTCTGTCCCGCTTAGACTAATATGAACTATTCCCACCCTGTTTAGAAGCCATATATTACGATACTTCTGTATACAAATCAAATATCACTCTTCGCGTATTCATCACCGAATTCATCCCTATTTCCCCTGGGATTAATTTACAGAAGATATTCTCTTATTAACATTGCCTGACTCTACCATATAAAAACCATCTTCGTTAGTGAGCTCAACGTCGTAGAGTCTGATATTAATATATGCTCACATACTTACTTACTTATTTACTTACGGCTGTTACTCCCAATGGAGCATAGGCCGCCGACTAGCATTCTCCAACCTACTCTGTCTTTGGCCTTCTTTTCTAACTCCATCCACTTCTTGTTCATTTTCCTCTTGTCTGTCTCCGTTTCCCAGCATAATGTGTTCTTTGGTCTTCTTCTCTTTGGCCTTGAGGATTCCATGTGAGGGTTCACCTTGTGACACAGTTGGATGCTTCCCTCAATGTGTGTCCTATCCACTTCCAGCGCTTCTTCCTGATTTCTTCCTCCGCTGGGATCTGGTTTGTTCTCTCCCACAGTACGTTGTTGCTAATAGTGTCCAGCCAACGGATCTGAAGTATTTTGCGTAGACAACTGTTAATAAACACCTGTATTTTCTGGATGATTGCTTTCGTAGTTCTCCAGGTTTCCGCCCCATACAGTAGAACTGTCTTGACATTTGTATTGAAAATCCTGACCTTGGTGTTGGTTGACAGTTGCTTTGAGTTCCAGACGTACCTCAGTTGTAAATATGCTGCTCTTGCTTTGCCGATCCGCGCCTTCACATCTGCATCAGATCCACCATGTTCATCAATGATGCTGCCCAAATCAGTAAAGGTTTTTACATCCTCCAAATCTTTTCCGTCAATTGTGATTGGATTGGTGCTTGCTGTGTTGTACCGGAGAACCTTGCTCTTCCCTTTGTGCATATTGAGACCTAGTGCTGCTGAGACTGCTGCTACACTGGTCGTCTTCTCCTGCATTTTTTGTTGCGTTTGGGATAGAAGGGACAGATCGTCTGCGAAGTCTAGATCATCCAACTGCATCTTAGATGTCCATTGTATCCCGTGCTTCCCTTCAGATGTTGACGTCTTCATGATCCAGTCGATCACCAGGAGAAAGAGAAAGGGTGAGAGTAAGCAACCTTGCCTGACACCGGTCTTCACTTCGAACGACTTTGTCAACTGTCCCCCATGCACGATTTTGCAGTTTAATCCATCATATGAACTCTGTATGATATTGACTATCTTCTGAGGCTCGCCGTAGTGTCGAAGAAGCTTCCATAATGTTGTTCTGTACACGCTGTCAAATGCTTTTTCGTAGTCAATGAAGTTGATGAATTCCATTCCATTGATTGTTCCACAATGATTCGTAGAGTTGCGATTTGGTCTGAACATGATCTATCCTAACGAAATCCTGCTTGTTGGTTACGAAATTGGGCGTCTACGCAGTCCTTCATCCTGTTTAACAATACCCCGTTGAAGGCGTTTCCCTGTATTGAGAGAAGAGTGATTCCCTTGTAGTTATCACACTTGCTGAGATCGCCTTTCTTCTTTCCTTCTTTCCAGTCTGTTGGTACTTGTTCCTCATCCCAAATCTTATTGAAGATAATGTGGGTTATCCTTGCAGTTACCGCTACGTTTGTTTTCAGTGCCTCTGCTGGAATGTTGATTGGTCCTGCTGCTTTGCCACTCTTGATTTGTCCGATGGCCATGCTGATGTCTTCAATTGTTGGTAGGCCAACATTGATAGAGAGGTCCGTGGATGCTGCTTAGATGTTGGGTGTGTTCAGTGGAGTTGGTTGATTCAAGAGTTCTTTGAAGTGTTCTACCAACCTGTTTCGTTGCTCTTCATTGTTGATTATTACATTGCCTTCTTGCTTTTCACAGATCGTTCTGGTTTACGGTGATTTCCAGCGGGTTTCTCTGTTGATCATACAATTGTGTCATGTTTCCTTCTCTTGCAGCCTTTTCCGCCATCATTGCTAAATCTTCCACATGTTTACTTTTGTCAGTTCTAATGCTCCTCTTCACTTGCTTGTTTACTTCTGTGTATTCAGCTTGTGCCTTGACTTTTTCCGCTCTTGTTCGACTGATATTGATTGCTGCCTTCTTGTTCCTCCTTTCTTGAATCTAATCCAGTGCATGAACAGTGATCCATTCCTTGTGATGGTGCTTCTTGTGACCCAGGACTTCATGACATGTTGAAGTGATTGCCTTTTTGATCCCCTTTCAGTTGCTCTCCATAGTAGTTCCTTTTCCATTGAGTAGAACATGAAAGGCCCGGAACTTATTGCTGAGGACTATCTTGAATTTGTTGAGTTTGTCAGTATTCAGAAGAAAGGCCGTATTGAACTTTTGTGATATTGTCCGCCCCGT